TAAGATGTGTATAATGGGTAGAACCATCTGGAAGTCAGGTGCAAGTTTTATCTGTGTGCGCTGTCCATGCTTCCTCATAAGCAAATGGGTTTTCATGTTTTTTTTTTTTTTGATATTTTTTATTTGAATTTGAAACAAGCTTGTTTTACATGTCAGTCCCAGTTCCCTCACCTTCCCCTCCTCCCCTGTTCCCCTCCCAACCCCCATCATATCCCCTTTCTGCTCCCCAGGGAGGGTAAAGCCTTCCACAGGGAGTCTTCAAAGTCTGTCAGATCATTTGGAGCAGGACCTAGGTCGTCCCCCATGTGTCTAGGTTGATAGAGTATCCCTCTATGTGTGATGGGCTCCCCAAATCCATTCGTATACTAGGGATAAATATTGATCCATCACCAGAGGCCCCATAGATTGCCCAGTCCTCCTAACTAACACCCACATTCCGGGGTTGATCCTGTACTGGTTTCCCAGCTATCAGTTTGGAATCCATGAGCTCCCCATTTGTTCAGGTCAGCTGTTTCTGTGGGTTTCTTCAGCCTGGTCTTGACCCCTTTGCTTGTCACTACTCCCTCTCTGCAACTGGATTCCAGGAGTTCAGCTAGTGTTTATCTGTGAGTGTCTGCTTCTGCTTCCACCAGCTAATAGATGAAGACTCTAGAATGGCATATTAGGTAGTCATTAGTCTCATTATCGGGGAAGGGCATTTAAGGTTGCCTCTCTACTATTGCTCAGATTATTAGTTGGAGTCATCTTTGTAGATCTCTGGATATTTTCCTAGTGCCAGATTTCTCTTTAAACCTATAATGGCTCTCTCTATTATGGTATCTCTTTTCTTGCTCTCCTCTTTTCTTCCCCTGACTCAATTATTAAGGAAGTCTTAAACATAACTACCTCTAGACTATAACAGTAGATCTTCAACTGGAACAGCCATGTGCTAAGTGGACAGGGTGGTTCCTGTTGTGTGGGAGTGAGCAGGACTCAGCACCTTGGAATAAGATCAAAGTGCTGCAGTTTCATGTCTTCGCTGCATTTGATTGTGTGCACCCTGTTCCACATTCAGCTTCAGCTGCTGCCGGCACTGTAGTGAATGATATGGGACACATTGCTGCCTTCTTGTTGCTTAGTGAACACAGTGACAGTCACCAGGGGTGTGGAGAGCCGCTCTGTGTTAGAGATGGGATCTGGTGATGCAGGGTCTTGTGTTCACTCAGGCAATGTAGGTCACCCCCTTTCCTGCAGAGTAGCTTTGGAATGTGAATACAATGGCCTGGACACTGATAAAGGCCACATAACTTTCTGATTGCTTCCTGTGGACAAGCCAAGTACCCCTTGTCACAGATGAATCATCAGATGAATAATTAGGACTCTGGTTAGCCTGTTTCACAAATGAGTAAAACAAGGTTATGGGGGGGGGGTTAAGCAATTTTCCCATAATAACATCCAGGACGATGTAAAGACAAGCTTCCCATACCTTGTGTCTGAGTTCCCACTCCACACAGCTTTCCTTCTTAGCCCCTGAGGTTACAGTGTTGTCCCTGATAAAGTCAGAAAAGTATCTGGTAGTTTGAACATAAGATTCTGTTGTTTAGTCTCCTGGGCTTTGTTAGTAGGACCTAAGCCCTACCCGCTCCCTCTTTCTTCCTCCAGATGAGCAGACCTTACCTCTTCCTTTGGCATGTGTCTTTTTACTCTGCTACTTTCTGCCGTGGGACACTGAAGAAAAAAAGACTCAGACATAGTGAACCTTCAATTGGAAGCTGTAAATCTCTGTTTTTTTTTTTTTTTTTTTGTTTGTTTGTTTGTTTGTTTTTGTTTTTATAAGTTAGCCATTCTTAGGTATTTTGTCACTACAACAGAAAGGAACAAAAATCTATATAGTATTTGGACTGTTTTATTTTTTGGAGCCAAATCTTCAAACTCGAATTAGACTATAAACATTCACCCAGGAGCCCTTATTGTGGATAACTGAAAACCCAATTGTTTTTAATTTGTGTGGGACTGAAGAGCAAACCTGGAGCTTCACACAGGCTAGGCTTTGCTGTCAGAGAGCTATCAACCCCCAGTTCACTCTTACCAATTACTGAGAAGGAGGCCCTAAGGATCCTCTTGGAAGCTTGTTGGGGGGATGTCTATGTTTCTTCTTCAGCATTTTGGGCAACTCATTCATCCCTGGCCCAACTTGCTGGCCATAAATCTCTTTAAGTAGGTTTGAATATTGCTTTGGTGGGCTGATTAAAAATAGCCAAGGGAGCTTCACAAATAAGGTCTCCTAGGCCAGGCTCTGTGCATGGACTTCCTCATTCTCTAGATCAGGGCTAGAGCCAGTGATGTGTCTGTCTCATAATCACTTTGGATCGTTTCAGCACATAGCGTGTTTTGGCATAGGCTGCTTGGCTTGCCATGAGCTGCCTGGAGACAGAGCTAACATTTGTGTGCATACCTCTTCTCTACTTTAGTTTTTAGAATTGCTTTCCCTTTAGATCACTGGCTAAATGCAAGACCTTTGAAGTGAGATAGACTTGGATCTCAGTGTTGGCACATGGCTGGCTGAATGTTCTAGGGCCAGGTGCTTTCTCCACGTGTAGGTCACCTCATCTTTAACATGGATATGAAAATGCAGGCCATATATGAGATGATGCCTCAAACATAATTGGTAGCCGTTTTGAACAATATAACATGATACACCATCCAGACTGTAGAAGCTTGTTTGGGTTTTTATGTGGGTAGAGTTTATTCAGAAAGCTCCTAGGCTGAGGTCTATCTTGGGGATGGTTGTGCCAACCCTTAGACATTGAGTTTGTCTGGAACAGAGGTCCCACTTGGCTCCATTATGAGCTCCCATGAATTGGCTGGGTTATATGGTCAATTCCAGAAGATGTGAGCTGAGGAGCAGCTCTAGCTTTGTATTCCCTTGTGTGGAACCATGGGAATGGGCACTTACCATTTTGCTTAGAATCTGCTATTGCAGAAAGATACACAACTCTTTTGTGGGGTATACACGCTCTTCCTAAACTAGCAAGGAACTTAAAGATGTCAGGCTGCAGAGGACCTGGCAAATCCTGGCCCAGGCAAAGAATTCTACCATTTAAGCTAACTCCTGAGGTGGGTGCATTGTGCTTGGGTCTTAACTTTCACTAGGAACTGCAATCACCTTCCTGACCCAAGCCTGGTAGTCTAAGATCACTCACAGGCCCTGGCTACAAGCTATGAAGAAGAATCAGTCCAGTGAGTCTTTATGGATGCTGAAAACTGAGTTGTGCCCTGCTGACTTGCTCAACTTTGGCCTCCTTCCCCCTTGCCCTTAGGTCTATTACTTCCTTCAACCACAGCTGGTTGGTTCCCCATGACTTTTTGGAGTGAAGTAGCTTCCCATGCCCACTTGTGCCTTGGGAGGCAGGAGGACTTCCCCACATACCAAGTCTTCCTCTTGTGAACCACAGTCAAACCTAACTTCACCCGAGAGTCACCTCATCATATGGTCAGCATTACACTACGCAGCCATGAGGCTACTGTCCCAGCCTGCTTGGTGGTACCTGTTTAGGTGACTAAATAGGAAGAAGTCATTTTGTCTGTCCTTGGCTAGAAAAATAATGCTTTAGGCTTTTTTTGTTGTTGTTGTCATCTATTTATTGTTTTCGGTTAGGTCCCAGAGGCAGGAATTTCAGTAATTTTTGTCACACTGTTTATAACTGCAAACTTTTGATGATTATTTTTCATATTTTCCAAGATGAACTCAAACCTTCATTGAAGGCAGGGATGGACCATCTATCACAGTGAAGGTAGAACCTTTGTGTAAATACCTTTGTGTCAGCCTTAGTCATAGCCTTAAAGTGCTACTAGAAAGCAAAGAAGTTAATGGGCCCTGGTTGGCTCATTTGCTTTTTCCTCTTTCTCCAAGGTGGTGTTTTCTTTTGTTCCTTGTTGTATCTCCAGTGCTGAGAAAGCCCCTGTCACAGAGCTTGTTTGCATGATAAGTGACTGCATAGTCTTGGCCATGTATGTCTCTCGAGTTCAGGTTGTCTGGGCTGGAGGGGGCTGAGTTGTACATCCAAGTCTTTGTTCTTCTTGCAGTTTAACCCCCCTCAAGAAGAGATAAGTAGAAGATACATTCATAGACACTTTTTGAATTCATGTGTGTAATTTTTCTATTTAGCTTTCTTTAACTTTAACTTCTTTTTTGAGGATTTAATACATGAGCACATACATGTTTAACGGACCTACCGTTCCCCCACCCCACAGTTCCTTTGTGCTCCCCTTCAGGTTCCCATCTCAAATTCACATCATCTTTTGTAAGACTTTATTCTACATTGCCTTTGTTTTCGCTAGACTTTGCTTTTTTTAAATAACAGACTTAGGGTCACTTCAAAATCAAGCAGATGCAGGGTTGAGCAACCAACACTTCCAAATTTTGGCAACGAATAAATCTACTATAAACATCAATAGATACAGATTTCCCACATGCCTCTGCTCCTAGACACCCTCAGTGTATACATTGGCATGTCACTGTTACTCAGCATCTCTAGTTAGTTCTCTTCAAATGTTAAAAATGATGTGCAAAGCTCCTCTAAGCACTCTTGTGTTTCTGCCATCCTGTTGCCCTTCATCTTGGCTAACAGTTGCTGTTATCTCTGTTTAGGGTTCAGCGATTGTTGTGGGCATATAGGACCGTCTTGTGTGTGACATTTCCATTCCAGTTTATTTTGTTTGGAATCATTGTGAGCACATTATAGAAACATTTTGCAAACTCACCCATATCTATTAAATTTTATTTTGATGCTTAAGTCAATGGTTTGTTACCAGGGGGGGAAAAAAAAAACTAAATAAAAAGAATGTAGTTTTGCTTCATCTTTATCAGCACTATTTAAAGCAAACATACCCCTCAGCTTGTGAATCTGTTTCTGTTGCTCCATTTGCTTTGGTTTCTTTGAACTGTTGACTGTTTAGCAAGACAGCATATTTGCCGAGGAGATTGGATATAATGCCTTCTAAACATCAATGTTTTTCAGGTCCCAAACCAGTTGTCTATCTCCAGCATGGCTTTCTGGCAGATTCTAGTAACTGGGTCACGAACATTGACAACAACAGCCTGGGCTTCATACTGGCTGATGCTGGTTTTGATGTGTGGATGGGGAACAGCAGAGGAAACACCTGGTCTCGGAAACATAAAACTCTCTCCGTTTCTGAAGATGAATTCTGGGCCTTCAGGTATATCACTGTCAATTATGACTTGGGTTTGTGTCTTTAGCATCCTTAAGATAGATGCTTCCTTTTGATAAAACTGGAGCCACCCTGGCCATGAATCACAAGAGTGAGAACTTTTACCAAAAAGCATTTATTAGAACATGTTTATTGTAACACTGTTTATAACAATGGGTTCTCAAATACATGGACAGCAGTAAATTCAATGAACCGAGTGTGGTGTAGTAACATAATAACACGAGAATAAACAGCTATAGTCAGGTACCAACATGGAGGAGGCCAGTTATGGAAGATGATATGTTATACAATCCCATTTTCAGGAAATATGCAAAGTGAATCAGGTTAACTTATAAACGTGAAAAATTAGAGGTGTTACCTTCAGGAGATACAACTGGAAGGGCATGCAGGGGAACTTCCTTGGTCCTAGACATAGTTAGTGTTCTGAACTCGTGCATGCTTTTTCAGCCATGTTCAGTGTGTGCTAACACATCTCATGCCAAGTATCTGTGTGCTGTTCTACTTCTGTGTGCTTTTTCAATTGAAGAGTCCTTTGTCTTTTGGATTGTAGTTTTGATGAGATGGCAAAATATGACCTACCTGCTTCAATTAACTACATTGTGATTAAAACTGGTCAAGAACAAGTGTATTATCTGGCTCATTCTCAAGGTACCACCATAGGTATGTATACAGTAAAGAAGGAAAAGGCAATGTATCTTTGAAGTGAACTGATGGGTGATGTTATACAAAATGATGTTACTTCAAATATAGGCTTTTCTTTTCTTTTTTAATGCCAAGCACAAATCATGAACAGAGCAAGAAATTTTCAGTGGTAATCTACAGAAATTCAGAATTTCAGAATTAAGTGTAAGTTGTTAAGTATCTTAAAATTGAAAGAATTGATATATTTGTTATGTGTTTTCTAATGTAAGCAACATAGGGAGGTGAGAGGGTGACATTTTCTAATGTCAAAAACCTTAAAGGGTCAGTAAGAAAATATACTTTAAGCCTTCAGTGCTGGGCTGGTGTGCAGCTCAGTGTGGAGTGCTTGCCTACCAGTTTTGAACACCAGGGTCTAACCCTAGCACCGCCCAAAATAAAGAAATCAGCAAGGAAATAAAGTTAAGTCATAGTTTTTGAAAGCTTTTCTGCCATTTGGTGTTCACTAATACCTTCGTGTTCATGGAGTATGATAGGCAGAGTATACTCTGCAAAGAGATTCACAAAGTAAACATTATGATTTCCAGGGTATTAACATATTAACTTGCTTTACCCTCCAGAAAATGGAGCTGTGTGTTCTTTATTTACATTACTTCTTACTTATGACTAGGTGACTTGTCTTTTGAAATCCGTTGTTCTAAGGACATTACCTCTTTTATGACTAGGTGACTTATCCCTTGAAATCTGTTGTTCTAGAGAGTTCTAGGGACATTACCTCTCTTATGATGAGGTGACTTGTCTAAAGTCCATTGTTTCTTAAGTGTCCTAGAGACAAGTAGTGGATAGATCTGAAAGAAGTGTAAAAGATATTTTACAGAAAGGGGAATCTAAATGTGGCTCTCCAGTTACTGGTGTTCTGCTTGGATGGTCTGAAAATTAGGGATGGGAAGGGGAGGTAAAAGTGTGGGGTGGAGCTGTAGAGATTCACATTGCTATGGGAACAGGGAAGACTTCCTGGCTCTCTTACCCTGGACTTCTTTCCATGCGTATTGTAGGCTGAAATCTGGACCTAAATTCCATGTTTCTGAGCCAGAATGTCTTAAGAGCTCTGTTCAGCTATTCAACTTGTGTGGTACTGGGCTTCCTCTGTAGGACACAATGGGTGACCCCCTCCCACTGTTTTTTTTAGGAAGTGCTAGAAGATCTAATTCTCTTCTTCTCCCCTCCCCCACAGGTTTCATAGCATTTTCACAGATACCTGAGCTGGCAAAGAAGATTAAAATGTTTTTTGCCTTGGGTCCTGTGGCGTCTGTCAATTTTGCCTCGAGCCCCTTGATCAAGATTGGAAAGTTGCCAGACTTTCTTCTTGAGGTACTTCGATGGCACCATCTCCCTTCTCCTCACATATTATCATCTGAGCTGAAATACTGATCACTTGAGAATAGGTAGTGTCCTGTGTAGATGGCATTACTGAGGCAGTGGGTATACATGTCTTCACACCTCCTGCAGAGGCTCCTAGGGAACCATATTATTAACTAGACATGTAGCTGCATGTCTCCATAGTTAACAATTTAGTTTGGCTTCCTACCCACTGTACAAAGAAGGTACAAGGGAGTTTTTGAAAAAGTAACTTAAGCATTCATACACACACACACACACACACTTCAACACAGTGTTATATACAGTCATATGCTGTGTATGGGTTTTTGATGATTTGGTTGTGAGCTTAACTTTTAATGGCCAAATTTCCAGCCCTGCAATGTTTCTTTCTTTCTTTTTTTTCTAGACAAGGGTTTGTTGTGTGGCTTTAGAGTCTGTCCTGGAACACTCTGTAGACCAGTCTGGCCTCAAATTCACAGAGGTCTGCCTGCCTCTGACTCCTGAGTGCTGGGATAAAAGGTTCACTGCCACAGCCTGGCTGTAATGGGTTTTTGATCATGAGGAATAATGCATTGGATTTTGGTCCCAACAGGTAACAGTGAAACTGAAAACTTCCTATCAACTAGTGGTAGTCCAACATATAATTCACATATTTGTGGCGATGTTAGCATATAAAAGTCACAAGAGTTATATAAAAGTGTAGGACACATAGTTATGTATAGTATTTATGTCATGGTTGGCTTTAACTGCCAACTTGACACAGCCTATAGTCGTTTGAGAGAAAAAAAAAAGTCCTAATTGAGGAATTACTTAAATCATATTGGCCTGTGGCATGTCTGAGGGAGATTGTTTGACTGTTAATACAGAAAGTCTCGGCCCACTGTGGGCAGCATCATTCCTATGCAAGTGGTCCTAAGTGTTAGCTTGTGAACCAGCAAGAATCTCTGTGGTTCCTACCCTGATTTTCCTCTGTGATGGAATGTAACTTAGATGTATTCGATGAAATAAACCCCTTTCTCTCCTAACTTTTTTTTAGAGTGTTGTATAACAGCAACAGAAGCAAAGTAGAATGTCATTCTTCATCATGATAATAACGATTCCTGGTTTATTTATATCCTATCCTTTAAATCATTGTTTTAGCATGTACTTCTCCATCTTGGGAAAATGCTTATTGTAAAGGCATGTGGCCTGATGTGCCAGCATTGGCCTTACGAATATTGATTGCATCAAGATTCTATGTCAAGTGATTGACCTGTACCATGCAGAATTGTGTAAGCATGTTATGTGATGGTTGCACAAGGCTAAAGTTACTAGAGAACTTGAGACTTAGAACTTACCGCTGCTATTAAGTGACTGATTACTTAGAGGTAGGTGTAACATAGCTCTCTCTCTCTCTCTCTCTCTCTCTCTCCCTCTCTCTCCCTCTCTCTCTCTCTCTCTCTCTCTCTCTCTCTCTCTCTCTCTGTTTCTCTCTTGAGGCATAAATCTAATTAATTTTAACAACAAAACCAGGCGTGAGATATCAGGGGAAAAAGATCACTGAAGCAACGAGTAGCCACAGTTGCTTCCCACCTCTGCTGTTCTTCCATCACTCTGTCTCCTCTCTGCACAGACCTCCAGACCTCTATGGTTAACTACTGGCTAGCTCCACCCTTGGAGTCGAAGCAAGCTTTATTTGTTAGAACACAAACAAAACGTCACACAACACTTTCTCTTTTCTTTCAGGTTATTTAAAGTCTTTTACAGGGAAATGTACTGTGTGCTCTTAATGAGACCCTTAGTGAGAGAGAAGGACTATAATGTGACACTTCATTGTTGTGTCATGCTGCACAGTATGTTTTTGGGTTATAATGAGCTACAGTTAGTCAGACGCTTGTGGTAGGAATTCATTGTATCAGCAAACATGCTGACAAAATTTTGTTTTGGCTGTCTTTGTTAATAGAAGCGTTGCGTTGCATTACAAACACTTCAGAAATTACCAGTACTTCCTGAATACTAGGCTGCCTCCCTAATACCATCTTTAGAATTACTCAGTTTGGTGGCCTTTTTCTACAGCCCCCACATATGAGTGTATGTGCATAGAGATGCACCAAGAGAAATACATTTTGTTTTGTTTCAATGCAGATGGAATGCAACTCTATAGATTGCTCTGCAGGTAGTATATTTCTCACATGGAGAGCTAGCCTGTTAATTGATTTCCTTATTACCTGCTCAATAGGCAGTTTTTGATCATGAAGACCTGCCATTAATCAGTTGAATACTGTGATAGACATCCAGGCTGGGGGAGGAGCTCTAGAGTAGATACAGGGGAGTGTGGTTGCTGCTGTAGGAATGCATGTTATAAATCTAGCTTGTTCCTTAGAGTTTATGAGTTAGTTTTATAAACCTAGAAATGCCACACCTTCCCCCATCCCCCTTTAGAAATGTTGCTTTGTAAAATCAGAGTGGAGATCAGGGCTCTGTGTTTTTACAAAACATTCTCTGTGATTTCTGATAAAGACTATGGCCATGGTATTTGGGAATCAGAGTTTCAAACTTGAGTGCTTTCTGGCACACACTGGGAAAGTAAAAACCAAAACAAGTGAACAAAATAACCAAATGAACTGTTGAATACACTGATGAATTAAGTTTTTGTGGAAATAAAGTGTTCCCCTCTAATCCTTTGAAAAAATATAAAAGTATAATTTACAAACCTGTCAAAGTTAATATGACCATGCCTACAAATATTTAAGGCAAATTCCCCTTTATCTGTATATATCATACGTGTGAATGTGGTTTTCTGTGGAGTTTGCTACACGAGTAGTTGGGTCAGTGGTGCTAAGAACAGGTTCACTTTTTATCCTTCATCAGCCCAAAGGAATGGCGGGCTGTGTTATAGGCCTATGATGTATCATCTTGCTAAATAGAGAACTCCAAAAATGTGTGCAGTTGTCACAATGACGATTATGTAGCTGCTAAGGCAAGAGCTATGAGTGAGCTAGCTTTCCATGTCACGTGACCCTTTCTCCTTGCGGAATTTACTTCCTGGTCCTTTTAAGCTACTTTTTGTGTGACTATTCTGGCAAAGATCAGTTCAGATCTGACTTCTGTTTTCAGACTGGATACATTGTCCAACAGAAGACTGACTTCACAATGTACTGCCTAGTTTTTTAGATTAGCTTGATATAGGATACAGTTATTTAGGAAGAGAAAACCCTACCTGAGAGATTTCTCTTATCCCATTGGCATGTAGGCCAGCTTTGGGGGGCATTTTCTTAATTAGTGATTGATGCAGAAGAGAGCAGTCCATTGTAGGTAGTGCCACCCCTGGACAGGAGGTCCTGGATGCTAGAAGAAAGCAGACTGAGCAAGCTATGAGGGAACAAGCCAGTAAACAGCACTCTGTCATGACTTCTGCATCAGGTCTCCCTCCAGGTACCTGCCCAATGTGCATTCCTACCCTGACTTCCTTAGATAACGGACTGTGATATGGAACTGTAAGCTGAAATGAACCTTGCCTTCTCCTAGTTGCTTTGACCATTGAATTTTATCACAGTGATAGAAATCCTAACTAAGACAGACAGAGATCACAGACTATCTATAGATGGCCAAGTTTCCTGGAAGAAACTAGAATATAACAGTATGCGTTTAAACTAGTGTGATACACTGAAGATCAGATAACTGGCAATTTTTAAAGGGAGGGGAAAAAAGAAGCTATGTTTCACCATTTTGTGGATTAGTGGTAAGCCAGAACAATAAGAAGAAGATGTAGTAGTTACATGGAGTACTGAGCTCAGAATGAACAGTTTGGCCAAAGTTGTTGTTATTCCCCAGTCATCTACTCGGAGACAGAGAAACAGGCTGCACATGCAGCTTTATTCATGTGTGTTTACAGCTTCCCTGTGCTGCTCTCCTAGGTTCCACAGGCAAATGTGCTGCATGTCTTGTCCCTCCTGGTGGTGGGTTGGTGGCCTTTGGCCAGATTGGCTGTGGAAGTGTTTTTCTAGTTTCTGCCTTCATCATTAGTTGCTGTTTTATCTGTGTCCATGTCTATCTTTGGGACCAGATTCCTCCTCTCTAAAATGACACTAAGCATGTCACATGAAGGCCCAAACTCCTTTTCACTTGACTCACCCGAAAAGACCCAATCTCTAAATAAGGCCGTTCTCAAATGCTGACACTTAAGACTTAAATGCCTGCCTTTTAAGGGGACATAACTCAACCCACAACATTTCCTCTGTAGATACTTGAGTTTTCCATTCTTGCTTGTCCTAGCATGGTTGGGTTGAGCAAGAGTGCAAAGGGACAGATCTGAGTTCCATATAAGGAGGACTCATCTCCTGTTGCATAGTACAAGAAGATCTGCCTTGAGAATGTAGTGACGGTCCCTGCTGTACTTGAACACAGATCCAGTGACTGTTGGTTAGGGACAAGGTAGAATAATCGGTAAGCTTATTTTATAAAAGTGGGCCACGTGGTTTTTGTTGACGATTAAATTCATACTGTGGCTGTATCCCACTAAAGCTTACAAAACCATTGTGGTGCTGTGGGCAGGGGAAGTGGGAAGTAATTAAGTGTCTAATGGATTCAGAGTAATTGTTTAATGGGTCTAGATACCAGGGTTCTGAAGATGGATCATAGGGATAATTACACAAGCTTGACTGTACTTGCCACTGAACTGAACAGTTAAAAATGCAAATGAGAAATCTTAAGTGTTTTACCAGCATAAAAATATTTCTTAATAAATTAGCAATAGTTGTTCATGGTGGCTCACACCTATGATCTCAGCCTTTGAGAGACTGAGGCAGCAGGATTCTCATGAGTTTGAGGCTAGCCTGGGATAACTATGAGGCCAGCCAGGCCTATCCAACAAGACACTGTTTTGAAACAAACAAACAGTGAACAACCTGCAAGGTGGCTGGATTTAGCCAACAGTGGATTAGAGCCTCAACAGCTGTTTGAGAAGAACCCGTCAACAAATGGTCATCTCCCTTTATAATGGTCTAGTATAAATGTACATAGCTTTCTGTCTCTGCCTTTTCATTTAGGGAACTTAAGCACATGTCTCTAAGCACATCTGATTTAGCCCAGGAATAACTCCCAGGTTTCCTGCTTGGAATGTTGGTTGATTGTCCTTGTGTCCTGGAAGCCATGTTGTGGAGACCCTTGTGTGTCTGTACTTCTGAAGGGATATTGAAGCCAGCCCATCAGGTTGAAATGCTGACCCATTCTTGGGTTTCTTTTTATTTTACAGAACTTGCTTGGACACAAAGAGCTTTTCCCCCAGACCGCCATACTGAAATGGCTGAGCACTCACTTTTGCACTCACGTTGTCCTGAAGGAGCTTTGTACAAATATCTTCTTTCTTATATGTGGCTTCAATGAGAAGAATTTAAATGCGGTATGTCCACTGACCCTAAGACTTACCTCAGCTGTCAGTTGTTAGCAATGGATGTGCTTATTTGTATGAGGGATGCAGTCCTGGACCCATCAGATATTCGAGTCTTTCATTTAAGAACACAGCCATCAGCTTTAGCAAGTGGCATCTCTGCTGCTCTGGGCTCACTCCTGTCAGCTTCTGACAAATAATACATGGATCCATCCCAAGTCATAATATTTATATAACATTTATTCTAGTAGTGTGTTCTGTTAAAAAAGCAGCTATATGTGTTTAAACCTGGAGCATCATATACATATATACACAGAGATAAATACTATACACATTAGCATATATTTATCTATGCGTATGTATATTTATGTTTGTTATGAAGTGTAAATCTCTGGCTTACACTAAGCCTATGTTTCTAAATGTATTTATCTTTAAGGATGTTGAGTTCTGAAGACAGATTTTAAAAATGTAGAGTAAAGGCAGGTGTGTTCGCACATTCCTGTAACCCAAGCACTTGGGGGTGGGGAGCAGAGGCAGGAGGATCTTAGTTCAAGTTTGGGCTATCTAGTCAGATCTTACCCCCCCCCCCCATTCTGCAATGAAGATGGAAGAGACTTTTAAAAAGTGAGATTTTTATTTTTTCCTTTTGATTAAAGGAAGACTTTAAATTTCTCAAATTTGGAAATTTAGGAAAGCATGGAGAAGAGAAAAATGATCTGTGATTGCAACCTGTGCTTCCTTGCATTTACCTTATTGCTGCTTTTCCCTACTCCGCCAATGTCTGAGATATTAATATTCTGAAAAACTGTGTATAGAGTTGTATTATTTTATCCTTTGAAGGGGAAAATGTCTTTTCATTTTCTAACCCATCATATTCATCTTTTAGTCTAGAGTGGATGTGTATACATCACACTGTCCAGCGGGAACTTCTGTGCAAGACTTAGTACACTGGGCTCAGGTAAGTATGCCAGGATTATAGCTGTAAAGCGGATAATAAGATTCTGGGACACAATACAGACTGATTGAGATTTATTCAGGGAGAATTCACTTAACACAAGAAACAGACAACATGGCGGGTTCCCACTGCAAGGATGTCCTTGTATCTTCTCTGTCTCCGACCTGGGAGAAAGTGAGAGCATCCCGGTCGGACCCAGACCTAAACTCCACCAGTCATGCCTAAATCTGTCCCCATGCCCCCCAGTGGGCATGGTCAGTACAGCAGGCGTGGGCAGGGTGGCTATCTCACTACACACCTGGGCACATGTAAAGTTAGTATTCGGTAAAACTGGACAAGCCACAGATTCCCAAAGTCTTCTAGTGCATGCCTTTCACCAACACAAACAACAGATCAGATCTGTTTCCTTCCTACACTCCTGGGTGCTTGTCACTGAGTTGGGGCACTTTAGTTATCTTCTACGCTATACACTGTGTTGGGCATGGGCTCACCCAACAGTGATCAGGGCTGAGGCTTACTTTCCTCTCTCCCCATCTTTCTCCTTTGTGTCCATCTTCCATCTCAGGTTTGTATGTCCCTTTCCTATGCATCTTTCTCTTATCCTCCTTTTTTTTTTTTAATTGTGCACCAGATTTACTTTATTTCATATTTGATAAAATATAATTTTCTGGGGGTAGAAGCTGTTACTTCAGCACTAACTCACAGACACAGTGTGCCTGGAACATGAGTGTATAAATCAGAGCCAAAGCAATCATGTATGATAATGGGGGTCACTAAGGTTAAAGTAGAACTTTGACACACGTAAGCAATGTGTGTCCGTTTTAGAGCATTTAGAGTTCACAGGTAGATAAAAAAGAATAGTATCTTAAAATGGAAATAAAATTATTCTAATAATCCCATACAGATAGTAAGTACACATTGGAGGTAGGAACTATCTCTGCATTGGCTTGCTGCCTCTTGCCGAATCATTTCAAAAAGAAGTAGTTATAGGTAGAATATTTAATGTACAAGGAAATTGTTTTTTTTCCCTGCCAATGGCTTTACAACTTGCTTCCCTTATCCCACTTGACAATAAGGGAGGACTTATTTTCACCTTACAGCATAGTCTTGATAATGGGTCTTTTCCAGCTAATCTTATCCTAAACGTGAAATACTTTGCTGGTTAAGCTTCAAACCAAGATGCTGTAAAGGTGTCTTAGTTTCTGAGCACCGCACAGACACCACTTGTGCCAGAAACACCTCATCCCTAAAGAGTTAGAGATTTTAATAAAGTATTCTTTCAAATAAAAATAAGGCATGGGCTTCTAGAACTGGTGGTACACACTGGCGTTTAATAATGAGGACTATGGGGCTAGGAGGTGGCTCAGTGAGCAAAGGTACTTGCTGCCAAGCCTGATGACCTCAGTTTGATCCCTAGAAACTACAAGATCCAAGGACAGAATGAACTCCAACTTGTCCTCTGACCTCTATATATGTACTCTGCATGCATGCATGCACATGTGAATGCATGCACACGTGCATACTATACATAAACTGAAATAAGTAAGATATTTAAAAATAAAACCTATGGGTCAGCAAGATGGCTCAGCTAAATTACTTTCTGTGGAAGTCAGGCTACATATAATCAATCCCCGGAACTCATAAAGGTAGAAAGAGAGAACCAACTTGACAAAAACTTGTCCTCTGTTCTTCACAAGTATGCCTACGTCCTCCATCACGCTCACTCAAGAATAGTAAATAAAAACTTGAAAAAGATAAAACAGATTCCTGTGTCCATAGAGACTCCAGTTCATTTGCACTGGAGTGTAGCACGAGTTCTAATTGGTTTTAGTGATAAAAACCCAGAGTCAGATAGTAGGGAGTGAAAGCTGGAAGATCAAAGAGGCAGAGTAGGCAGCCACAAGAGCTCTTACCAAACCGCTAAGAAATCTTCAGACCCTAAAAGGGCTGAGCTCCTGTCTCCTCCCGCCTTATATTCCTCTCTCTGCCCAGCCATATCACTTAGTGTTTTCTCCTCCCTAGTGCTGGGATTAAAGGCGTGTGCCTCCCAAACACTGGGATCAAAGGCATGAGATCCCAAGTGCTGGGATTAAAGGTGTGTGCCACCACTGCCTGACCTCTATGGTTAACTAACTAGTGACTAGCTCCACACTCTGATCTCCAGGCAAACTTCCTTAGCGCACAAACAAAATGTCCTGGCACTGCAGAATCTGTGCTTTGGCCTTTTATTTTGTAACTTTTATTGAGATATAAGTGACATAGTGCTACATTGTACAACTTGATACATTTTGGTATAACCTATAATGCTGTTGCCTCAATATGATAGGAAACATGCCTGCCACCTCCAAAAGCACCCTCAAGTTCCTAGGTAAATCCTTCCCCCTCAACAACTGATCTGCTTCCTATCACTTTATTTTGCCCTTCCTAGAGTTCATGTGTAATAGAGGTGTATAATATAATGCATTTGTTTGGTTTTGCTCAACATGATTATTTTGAGATTATCCCTGTAGTTCAGTCCTCTTTATTCACAAGGATTTGGAGTTTTAGAAAAGCTGTCCACCATCCTCTTCTTCCACTAACCAAGTGTGTAAGTCCCTGGGAAATGGCTTAGAAAGCTCTCTGTCTTGCCTCGGAGCCTAGCTGAAATAGTGTGGTCTGAGACACTGGATGACATGGGCTCCCTCTCACAGGCTTCTCTTTAAGGAGATGCCTCTTACGTTGTTGATATGTCAGGAAAGCTAAATGTCAGGTGACAGAGTTTGCTGTGGCTTAGTAGAGGGGTCCCCAGAATGCAAGCTGTCCATGCCATGATTACAGCATGCATTTACCATTTAAACAATGCTTTAGACCTTGGGATACACTCAAATTCACAATGCCCTTCTTTATGGTCCTTGCTACTCTCCAGTATATTTCTGTTTACGGTCATTTGTTTTCTTCATATGTTCTCGTACTAAACTAACCCCTGCCCCCGACACGTGTGAACATTTTTACCTCTCTATTTGGACATGTCTCAAAAGGCCCCATTTCTGTCACTTCAGAAATCAGTTGCATTCCCAAAGATGTCTGCTGGCTGGCTGAGGCACACTGAAGGCAGTTAGCGAGCTACTTGCTAGCTTAGTAGCCACCTGCAGCCTGTGTGTGGTATGACACATGCTTCAGCAGTTCACCACTAACCATGGCCCTTGGCCATGTTGAAACTGTGGCTGCCCTGAGTCCATGCTATGTCATCATCACATTAGGGCCTTCCTTCGACCTCAGTGTCCTAGGCCCCCACTGGGCACTGGGTTTGGGAGAGAGCAGCTGGATTGGCTGTAACCCTAACATCTGTTCTGATTCCAGCCCCTTTCATCTGCAGATTTAAGCAGCTGGCTAGGGTCAAAGATTGCAGGCTGAGGGCCATAGCATTGCTCTCTGGCCAAGTTGACCTTGTGGTCTCAGAATTTTCCCAATCCATGACTCAGTAGAGAGGGCACCATGAACTTTGCCCTCCTGTTTACTACAATGTCCCTCTGTACAAAGTAACCGGATTTTTTCCCAGTGTTTTCTTGTTATGACCTTTGCCCAGTGTTTTCTTGTTATGACCTTTGCCCTCCTGTTTACTCAAATGTCCCTCTGTACAAAGTATCCGGAGTTTTCCCAGTGTTTTCTTGTTATGCTCTCCCTCTTGGCTCTATGGTCAGGTGGCCTCAGCTGGTGCTCAGCTCATTTTCCTCCCCTTTTCTTTTGATTTAGTCCAGTCCATGGGATGCCACCCATGCAGGCTAATCTTCCGTCCTCCCCATATGAACCTTCCTGCAAACATCCTCTTAGACACAGACATGCCTAGAGGTGTCTCTTAGTTAATTCCAAATTTCATCAAATTGACAATCAAGGTTATAACCATAGCAACCTCCAAGTCGAATCTGACAAACTTATAACCAGGTCCTGCTAACCAAACCTGTTCTTGTCTGTCCCCTCCTAACCACTGCCAAGAGCCTGGGTACTTATTCCTCTTGGAAGAAGCCTGTCCTAACCTAGCTTTACAGCATTAGGCACACTACTGAGGATACTGATGAAATAGATTTCTAGGCCTATCTCACATCTATCCAGGATTGAATTGTGAATGTGTTCCAAGGATCTGCATATTAATAACTACCTTAGATCATTCCAAGTACATCCACTGTTTGAAATTTCCTACTTTTTGTTAAAAAACAAAAAGGATGTACATTTGATTAACTTTTAAAAAATAGCACTGGTAGCTTGAAGTGATGCTGAGCACACTAAATTCAGGCTGAGCTGCAAGCTATTTCTTACTCTCCTGGTGCTTTATATACATGTATGACATGTGAGATCCTGGCAAACTAAAGTGTGTATGCTGTGTCAGTACATGCTGCCCTGGGGAATTTTCACTTGCAATTTGCCACAGAAGTGGATGCACTCATCACAGCTGTAGGTCTGTCTATATCTTTCTCAGTATGTCACAACATCAACCTCTAGTCTCCATACATATGCGACTGTATGTGACAGACACACACGCACGCACATGTATATGCTCACAAAAATCTAAACAAATAATACAAATAGATAAGTAGGATAGACAGGAAACACAACCATATGTTTGTATTCAGGAATTTCTTAAGGAGAGGTTTGCATTTTGGTAACATTTCATTAAGCAATTTCATAGTTGTCTGAACATCATAGCGCCTACTAAACACAATTATGAGAGTGATAATGTGGTGGTACAGCCTTACTGGACCACTGTTGGACATACAGTAGCTGATCACAGTCTGAAGCATCAGTATGCATGTACAACTCCAAGTAAAATCACTACCTCTTTGAAAAAGCCAAGAAGCAAATTTTAGTGGAAAAGGCCCACACAGATAAAGTTCATCTCATGGGGGTAACCCTTTTGGTCATAGATGTTTTCCCAGCCATGCTGTCAGAAATTAAATCCTGTGGTAAAGGAGACCAGAGCATTGTTTTAACTTCATTTGAGATACATGCTTTGGAGCCAGGTGTGGTGGCTCACATCTTTAATCCTAACCCTTAGGAGGCAGAGGTAAGTAGATCTCTGTGACTTCCAGGCCAGCCTAGTCTACAAAGTGAGTCCCAGGACAGGACTGTTTTACAGAGAACCCTAGTCTCAATCTCTATACCAAAATCTTGTGTGTGTGTGTGTGTGTGTGTGTGTGTGTTGTGTATAAAATTTGGAAAAGAATAAGCCTGGATTTAGTTTTTGAGGACCTGATTGACTCTAGCAGTCTATGATATTATCTCAAACTTAAGTGTCTGCTACATTTTTTTTCTCCAAATTTTCTTGTTTTTAGGTTATTAAAAGCCATAAGTTTCAAGCTTTTGACTGGGGAAGCAGTGCCAAGAATTATTTTCATTACAACCAGGTAAAACTTTTAATTAAAATGAGCCTTGAAAATCCACCAAAGAAGGCAGTGTGGGCTTCCAGAACTTGGTTGGGCTCAGCTTCTGGGTAGGGATGGGGTGGGGATGGGGTGGGGATGGTGGGGGTGGTTAGGAGTTGGGGAGGTGTTGTCTGTAGAAGCTGTTTTTCCTGAGTCCATTTGGATCTTTCCAGATCTGTCAGTGGAAAAGTGCGGGTCTCCTACCCCATCCTTTCTGGCTGTAGATAAGGGGCTACTGGGGTTCAGTAGGATCATAAGCATAGCTTTAGAACCAGGGTACTCTGGGTTGTTGCCAGCTTGCTGGAGGAGAGACCTCAGATGTATTACATAGCTTAAGCCTTTTCCTTCCCTGTGTAAATACAATTTCCATTTTTGAACACTGAGTTCCCTGAATTACAAACTTATTTCTGTTTATCTTAATTCTTGAAGTAGCCCTTGTTGTTTATGGCTTTAAGTTTAGAGAGTGGAGCCATAGAGAATATGTGTGGCTTCTCTCATATTTGGAGAGAGGCTGTAGGAGGATCTGAGCGAAGAGCTCCTTCCTGCTCATTTGGGTCCTGATGGGGAATGTCCTTCTATATATGTTTCTCTTATTGGTTGATGAATAAAACACTGGCTAGTGGCCAGGCAGGAAGGATAAGTTGGGCTAGGAGACCAGAAGAAGGCTGGGGGAGGAGGCAGAGAGAAGCAGAGAGAGAGAGAGAGAGAGAGAGAGAGAGAGAGAGAGCGATGACAGACACCATGTTGCTGAAGGAGTAATATGCCAAGGCATTACCAGGTAAGCCATAGCCTCGTGGTAATACGTAGATTAATAGAAATGGGTTAAATATTTAAGAGTGTGCTAGCCAATAAGAAGCCTTAGCCATCAGCCAACAGTTTTGTAATTAATATAGCTCCCTGTACATACGTTCATTTGGAGCTGAAGCAGCTCTGGGACCAGGTGGGAAAGAAACTCCAGCTACTATCTGGGGATAATCGTGGTACTCACTGAGGATTAAATGATCCTACAGTGTGGCAGAGGGGAACATCTTCACAGCGACAGTTCTTTCCTTGTAATGACTACCTGAAAAACATAATGAACGTGATTCTCAAAATATGTAGTGTTTGTTTGTTTTAATTTCAGGTCAGACTTACTAGACATTTATTTTTCAATGGAGATTGCATTTACTATATTTTTAAAAATTATAATAATTACCAAAGTTTCTATGAATCTTTTTTTTTTCTTGTAGAGTTACCCTCCCGTGTATGACTTAAAAGGCATGCGTATACCCACTGCTGTGTGGAGTGGGGGCCGGGACTGGCTGGCAGACACCAGTGACATCAACTTCTTACTGACACAGATCCCCAACGTGGTGTACCACAAGTGCCTCCCTGACTGGGAACATCTGGATTTTCTCTGGGGTTTGGATGCCCCCTGGAGGGTGTACAATGAAATAGTCAGTCTACTGAGGAAATACCAGTAAAAGTCAGACTTGAGACATGTACCCTCAAAAAGTATGGCAAAAAGATAGATGTTTGCTTCATTTCTTTAATACTTGTGTTTTCCTTGCTTAGATCTTTTTTTTTTTTTTTTTTTTTTTCCTTAATGCAAGAGGATGATGGCTTTGAAGTTATCTGTGCTCTCTAGTTAGCAGCATGCTACTTGTCTTATGCTTAATTATGACTAACTAGCTATCGTCACAGCCTGTGATGCCTTTCTAAGTCTTTAAAAGGTATGGGTGTGAAAATGTCATTGTAATCATTATGTTACTTTTTCCAATTGTTTTTGATGTAAGTGTGCCACTTATACAAGCATATACATATGCTATGCACTGGCCAGACCTGCCTTGTGTGGAGGTCAGGGCTAGTGTCAGGATGTCTTCTTCAGACTCTCGTCATCTCATTTTTTGAGGCAGGGTCTCTCACTGAACCTGGAGCTTGCTATTTCAGCTAGACTGGCTGGCCAATGAGCCTCTAGGATCTGCCTGTCTCTACCTTCCCTTTCATTAATGCTGGGCCTATAGGCACATGATGCCCCACCAAGTGGTTTTTACTTTGGTTCTAGGGGTGTACACTCAGGTTCCCATGCTTGTGGAACAAGCGCTTTGCCCACTGAACTATCTCCCTAAGCCCTCCATAATTCAAAAGCTATGCAATTACTTTTCTGTTCCCACCACACACAAGTGGGAGCATATAGGACACTTCACGCTATCATTTTTGGTAGCAAAAACAAATCTGTCTCTGATTTGAACTCAGTATGAAAAATACCTTGTTCTGGACTTGACATGGCAATGGAGATCTGCAATCCAGGGCCTCGGGAGACTGAGGCTAGGTTTAGGTTTTATCCAGAGAGTAAGACTTCATCTCAAAAAAAAAAAAAAAAAAAAAAAAAACCAAAGACAAATGGACAAATGGAAAAAACAAACAAACAAAACCAAAGTGCCCAGTTCTTATCTCCTTGCCTTTGATGCTTTCCAGCCCAGTGATTCTGTGTTTACCTGCTTAAACAACATTTTTCATGTTTTTATGCACGAACTACCTAGTCAAATCCAGTGTTACCCCAGCCTTGTCAGGAATATCCTTTCTTCAAGTTTTATCAAACCTCAATAACAAATGTTTAGCAAATACTCAAGATTTTCTAGGCCAAGCTGGGAGTGGGGGGGGGGGGGAGAGGGAGCCAAAAATCTTGAAAAGCAGATTGCACTGATTAAAAACAAAAAAACAAAAAAACCTCTCGTGAACACTTTGAAGGTTGGTCTACTCAGCTGTGTGTGTTCTTGGGTGTCTGTGTGAATGTGAAGCCATAGCCTGTGACAAGCTGCCTAGTTCATTTTTCACATAAATGAACTGGGTGTTTTCTGACCAAAGTCCAGCTCAGGAATTCTATTGTGGAAACCAGTGTTGTATGCACTGTACTGTGCAGGAAGCCCGTGTCTGTCTGCCCTGTTTGCATAGACGCCACCGTTGTCAGCTGCACGGTTAGTTGATGAGTTTTCTGACCTAGTTACCTTAGATGCAGCAATATTACTTGATATTGGCTCATACGCGCAGGCAGAATGATGATAAAACTGTGTAACATTTTAAAGGTTCATATTTAAACTTTTCAATAAATCTCAGCCTCACAGGCCTGAACAATTGTGTGGTGGTGTTTGCTTTAATAGCTAGGCCATACTTTATTTATTTATTTTGCCAGGACTCAGGATTTTTTTTTTTTCTCTACTCTCATTCCCCCCTTGGAAACTTCAACCACATAGTCCATGAATGATTTGAGGGAGTAGGAGGGGGTGCTGGGCTAAAAGAGGGCTGGAGCTGGTTGCACGGTCCTTGCTCACGAGGTCCTGAATTCAGACCAGGCAATAGTGAATCCCTCCCCCAGGCAGTGGCTAGTTAGTCAGGTATCTATTGAACAAATGAGGCAAGTAAAGCGGGCAGAGACAGTTCATACCTTAGTGGCCCCTCCAGAACCCCAAAACAACAGCAAAACCGATCAGAGGGCTCAAACTACCATGCACTTAAGTACAGAGGACATAGCAGCCACTCACATTTTCATACTTACATCGAGTCTTCACTACAGTGACTATATGGGAACTGACAAGGTGGATACCTGCTTTGCTTTAGACAGATGAAGTTAGAACAGGTGACACCTAGGTTGCACCTGCCTGCACCTGTTGCACTGACCATACACCGAGGTAGCTCCAAAGAGTGCCACAACCTCTGTGTGGTTTCTCCTGGAAGCCTCCAAAAGGACTGGGGTGGTCAAAGCAGTGGGTATGCCTCCTACAGAGTCACCCTCCTCCCTGGCCACAGGTCCCCCAAGGAGCCCTTCTTTCTCCTTTGACCAAGGCAAACGGGCTTTGCCAATGAAACACAGAGCTGAAAGAAAGAGGCAAGGAGTTGAAATTGCTAGCTGTCATTTCCCGCAGAATGTGGAGAGCATTCTAGGGAGGGCCATAAGTGACTTGGGTTTCCAGCTACAGCTGCTGTTAAAGGGCCTCCCAGGGGCCCTTGAGAGTGTGTTGTTAGCCCAGTTCCTCCAAACAGACCCAGGTGGCAGGATGAACAGTGGTGTCCAGCAGTACTTTCTACTGTCTAGTCTCTATCTTCTTTTCAGACATTGCCCTGAGGAGAGGGTGGGCCAGTCTAAAGGTACAGGTACCATACAGCTCTTGTCATGTTGGCTTTCCCTGCCTGTTTGTTTCCATTTGTGGTCTCTTTGCCTGGATGCATAAACTCAGGGCTAGAGATCAGCCTTGTGTGTTCTAGGCAAGGGCTCCATTACTGAGCTGTGTTCCCACCTCCTTTGTGGTCATGCTAACTTAGTTTGTCTTGGTATCTGTGAGCCTAGAAACAGACAGTTTGGTGAGGACTCCCTGGGGTCTTTTCAACTGGCTTTACCAAGTCCCCCATTGAGCACAATGTAAAGATTTGCCCAAGCCTGCAGCCTACAGAAAGAAAAAGTCAATATTCGATCTCCTTGGGGTTATTACCCAGTAGCCTTTTGGCTGAGATTAACTGGATTATCACTTGTCCGTTTGTGATCCTTCTCTAAGACGTAGTCTTGTGAAGAAATAAATGAAGAATGGAGAATGAAGGGGGAGGGGGAAAGTCACTATTTTCTCAATCCCCACAAGAGGGTGCTCTTGGCTTTGCTTGCAAATCTTTCCGGCTTCCATAGTCCACACTACTTGGTTGTGTTTGGTTTTGAGAAACTCAATATGTGCAGGCTAGCCTGGAAATTGTAGTCCTCCTTCCTCTGCTTCTGAATTCTGGGACTAAAAGTTTGCATCACCAAACCCAGCTCCTACAACAGCTTTTAGGAAAGCTGTCTGTGGATGTTAGGAAACTTTGCGAAGTTTCTTGAGCCAGATGGCAATTTGATAATGGGTGGGACTGTGGCTGTTATAAATTCTAGCCAGGATAATGATTAATTTCTTGTATAATAAATAACATCTGAAAATGTTCTCAAGGAATAGCTGTCCTCCCCTCCAAATATGACTTGTAAATATAAATTGGGCATGAGCATTGGGTGGGTAGGTGGTAGAAAAGACTTTGAGGACTCACACTATTAAGAAGTACCAACATTTGTTCATTCATTGTCAAACAGTGAAGATTATTTTGTGCTTGTGACCATTGAAAATGTTGACTTGATAAATGAAGGCATTTAAAATAGACAGTAATGGATTTCCTTTCATACAAAAAGATTTGTTTTATTTTGTGTCTGAGTGTTTTGCGTACATGTTTGTAAGTGCATCACATGTATTTAGGCCAGAAGAGGGCATCAGATACCCTGAAACCAGAGTTGCAGGCCACTCTAAGTGGTGATTTCAGTACAGACATCTGAATCCAGTCTGAACGGGACCTTTTCAAGAGCACCCAGTCACCTTAAATACTGAGCCATCTCTCCAGCCCCTATCATTTATTCTTTAATATTTATACAATTATACTTCATAGATTTTAAGACTAGAAGCCATACTGGTTTCCTGTGATGCATGAACAGCAGCTAAAGGGAACAAATAATTGTTTGATGAAAAATTATGAGTCACAATATTTGTTGTATTGTGTTAAGTTCAGATTTCAAGTCTAATTCTACTGGTCAAATGAAACCTTCTGTGTGAATTACACTACAATAATGTACTTGGCATGGTTTAAGCTATGTGTCCTGGAGTTTTGAAGCCTTCTCCTAAAGCTTTGATCACATTGGCAACCTATTTGATGAGGGAGGAGTACAGGGCTGGTGATGTCTCTCTTTACAGGCACGATAAGCCTTTTGATTAGGAACAATCTGACTGCTCTGGAGAGGTTGATGACAATTCCAACAGAATGGACAGCACATAATAGGTTGAAACTGTATGAATAAGTCTGGGCCGGCAGGGGCATCAAGGGAGCTTTGAAGGTGGGTACAGGAAGAGATAATATCCCCTGGTTCTTCATTAGTATCTCTTACCATTGTCTGTTGTTTATCAAGGTTTATTAATGGTCCCTGAGTCTTTTGAGAATTACTACATAAAAGCAGTTTCAATATTACTCTTGAGAGCAACCCTGGCTAAGGATTGGCTGACTCTGGATTCAGCTGTAATCTACTCTTAGATCTACTTATTCTTGAGACATCTGAGACTGAATCTTTAATCCTCCGTCTTTGAAATGTGAGGTCATATTTTGATTGTTGAGGTCATCCCGCCTCTTTGGGTCTTGCCATTAGCCTCTGATATCCAAGGAGAGCTGTTTCAGTCTGATAGCTGTACAAATTATCCTACCTGGAATGAAAAGAAACCACCTAGCTCATTTTTAAAAAGAAGATATTGTTAACATCAGTCTTTGCTAGCTACATGCTCTCTTGGCAGGGCTAGCCTAAGGCTTTTGGTGAGTTGGTACCAAATAATAGTTGAGATTAAGTTAACTTTGTTCAGACTTTGAGAATAATTGGAGGAGAAAGGATTCTTGCCTTTGAAGGTCAATAGAGGGCTCTGGCCAGGATGAAAATGACAAAGAGGAAGTTTAAATCAAATGGAAAAAGTATGAGACATAGTGTGGCCAAAGTTGTGACATCACAAAATATCCGCTCATGAAGGCAAATGTCCCCAAATATCAGACCCAAATTGCATCTGCTGGTGCTCCTTCCACAATAAATACATAAAAATTAAGAAATATAGAAATGTAGAAACCTACTGTCATCTTCATATTAGAGTTGATACCTTCTAAAATGAACATGCAGCATCTTTTGAGCTTAGGATGGGAGGGAGTTGGAGGTCAGTGACAAAGTGAGTGCTTGGTATGCTTTGGGCTCCAGGTTCCTTTCAAATTCACATAGAGATACGGGGGATGGAAGAAGAGGAGGAGGAGAGAGCAAGCTAGAAGTTCTGCTTAGTAATCTGCTATATTATTTCTACTTCTTTGGCATCAGGCTCTGAAGACTTTAACCAAGAGAATCCTTGAAATGGTTGCATCTCAAATGTCTGTCATGTGAGCTTCATGTTCAGGGACTGCAGAAAGACAGCTGTTCTTCAACATACCTCTAGGTTCAGAGACTCAGAGACAGGGAATTCTGTAGGTTTGGCTCCTAGGTTTTGCTTTTCAGAGTTTGATGCCATAAGTATGTGGAGACCAATAATGGTAGACGACATAACCACTGAAATGGAATGAACATGAGTTGGTTTGGGTTGGAAGCATTAAGTCTTGACAGCACAGATAATAGTTAAATGCAAATCAAGCAATACCACCCACCTTTTATAGTTTGCAAGCAGACCCAACACATCCAAGCATGAAAGTGAGAGTAGAAGCAAAGAACAATGTTTGCCTGCGGGAACCTGGATAAGTGTGCTGGGCATAATGCTTTTGTAACTCTGAGATGGTGAGCTCTGATGGTCCCTCTGGAATTATGAGTGGTCAAAAGTAAAGGAGGAGTTTTATCAGTTTTCTTTTTCCTTCCAACAAACTGCAAACCTCCCTCTTTTCCACAAAATGTGTATCAAGGGAAAGACCACATTTATCAGGGACAAGAAAGAAGAACCTTCCTAAGTTGCCTTAAAAGTGAAGATGGGAACAGCAGGATCATGTGAGAGGAATTAAGCAGTCGATTACTGTCTAGCTGGAAGAAACACACCGATAGGGAATCTAGAGCCCTGCATCCTCCTGGCCCTCCTTTTGCTACGGCTTCCCATTTTAAGGCTTGTGGAAACACACACACACACACACACACACACACACACACACACACACACACACTGTCTTCTTTCTTTTGTATCTTGCCCGTCAAGAAGCCCGAAGCTCCTTCTTATCCCCATCTCATCAATGGCATATAGACCAATAGTGCATAGTAACACTTTGCTTTTTCTCTTGCCCTCCCTCCCTCTATTCCCCCTCCCTTTTTGAGGATTTTGTGAGTGTATAGCTTTTTCTTTAAAACATTAGCATACAAGGCATTAGATATCATTGTGGTGTTTTCTAACAAAGTGTATTTTAGTAGATTCCTTCTCATCTCCCTCACTTCTTTACTTCCCCTGAATCTCCTTGTAGTCTCGTTCCCCCTGTGCTAATATTATGCACGCCCCTTTGCCCTCTTTTGGTGTCCTTCCTAGGTTTTTAGGCTTTACCTTCATTTACTCCCACTTATGTACACACACATACACACTACAAATTAGGACCCACATATGAGGGAAAACATGTAGTTGCTATCTTCTGAATTTGTGTCACCTTGTTTAATATTATACTGTCTAGGTCCATCCATACTCCTGCAAGTCCCAAAATTTAATTTTTCTTTACAGCTGAATCCAATTCCATTGTGTGTATGTATCCCATTTTCATCATTTATTCATCTGCTGATGGACATCCAGGCTGGTTCCATGACTTTGCTATTGTGAACAGAGTAGCAATGCATATAGACGGATAGCATTTCTGTGGTAGTGTTAGGGAGATAACATACTTTACTAGTGAGAAATCACTCTATATACTTGGAAATTAAGGAAGAGCCAGACTCCAACAGAAGGTTTTGTGAGCTTATGTACATGTAGGCATATGCATTTTACATACACTGTCTCTTAAATCTCTTTCAAGTCTGGCCCCAGGTTATACTTCAAACAATTTGAACCAAGACAGCAGCCTGAAAGTCTGGTTGCTTATGCTGATAGAAGTTTTACACAGCAAAGATATTGCATATCGTCAGAATTATTTAAGTATGACAGTATTGTACTTTTTCAAATAGTTGTTACTAAGGGTTATCTTGCCCACCAGGCAGAATTATGATTTCCCTGATGAGAACATAGGGGATGTAATGGGAGGTCAGAACTTACTGGTGGTTGTGTCCTTACACTACCTGCTATGAACTATCATTTAGAGGTATGTTTTTGTTAAGGTAATTGAGTCAGCTATCTCCTTTGTCATGGGAATCAGAGCTTAATGGCTGGTCAGTCCTGATGAGTAAATATTTATATTCTAGCATCCTAAACTTCCCTTATCTCTTGCAGGTCTGATTAGCAGACTTCTTATCTTTGGGGTATTTTGAAGACAGCACACCGTTAGCTAAATTCCACTTTTGTGACTCAATGTTTTCTAAGAAGACTTTTAGTAAGTCCTTTATAATACCAATTCCACCAGTTTGCGTTTCTTTTCCATCAGTAGGATATGGTGGGTATATAGTATATAGCCAGGAGTGCATAGCTGGGTTATATGGTAGTTTTGTTTTGAGACAGCTCCACACTAATTTCTGTTGCTCGAGTTTTCTGTCCCACCAGGTCCTGCTACCCTTTAGCCTCAAATAAACACATAGATGCTATATTAATTATAAAACTGTTGGCTGATGGCTAAGGCTTCTTATTGGCTGGCTCTCTTAATTATTAACCCATTTCTATTAATTTAAGTATTTCCACATTGTCTCGGCTTATTGGAGAATGCCCAGACCTACTACTCTTTTGGTGGCTAATGGTGTCCTCTGCATGCCCCAGAATTCTCCCTCAACTCCTAGTCCCACGTATTTTCTTGCCTCTATTGGCTAAACAGTGTTTTATTCATCAATCAATAAGGGAAACATATATAAAGGACATCCCCCATCACATTTCCATAATTATATTTTATAAAATTATGTTTACTTTTTTTTTTGAGGCTTCTATACAGCTGAAAGCTTCAATTTAGGAACCCTAAAGAATGAATGAATGGGCATGTTACTTCATCAGTGATGACTCTGGAACACAGCAAATGGGAAGTCTGAATCATGAACTTGACTGTTGTATGTGTATATCAGATATGTATGTATATCATGCACATACACACACAAATATATGTATATGTAAAATAAACCTGTGTATAGTAACACACACATTTTCTGGGTATATGTTAGGCCCGTTTATTGTTTTGTATTTTTACAATATATGTTTGTTCCTTATAATATGTCCTTTTATCTTTTCTTCTTGAAAGAAATCTTGATTTTAATTTCAAATATCCTAGTTGTTATCTATGATGTAGAAAGTTAAAATGATGTGTAGCTTATTTCCTCTTGTGCGGTGGGGGTGGGGTGGATTAAGCCCTTAGATTGAGGGCTGTGCAGCCACAGGATCATTGTATCCTTCCTGATAGAGGTGGGGGCCAGCTCTGGAGGAATGTGAAATCACAAATAGGACTGGTGTCTGGCAGGGGAGTAGGAGGAGACTGAAGTCCACTTGTCCTTCAGGGCTTACAGCAGGCTCCTAGGGCCATTTATGGCTGTTTTCCCTTGGAAAAGAACACGGGAAAATGCAAGTTTACGTAAGACTATGTCGGTTTCCAGAAGAGAAGGGCTGGCTTAAGTACACAAACACAAGAAGGAAACAACTAGTAGAATGGCCCCTGGCTCTCCTCTGGGTTCTTTTGTGCCGCATTTTAGCCACCTAGGGGAAATGCAGAGGCAGGTGTCTGTGTTGGACTCCCTGGGGGCTCTTCCAGGACACAACACTATCTTCCAGTGCTCAGTCTCTGTCCCCACAGCCCTAGCATCTGAGAGGGTGTTGAGTTTAGGAGTAGGGAAAAACTAAGGGCTGGGAAAAAGTGGGAGCCTAAGGAACCTCCAGAGAAATGGCAGGGGAGATGGGACATTTCCTGCACTTAGCACTTATCAGGCTTCCTGGGAGGCTGTAGGATTACATAAATCACTGCCTCTACCCGGCTTTGAGGTGAGGTGCCTTGGCCCAAACGAGGGACCCTCGGTGGGTGTTAAGGCCAGCATCCTTCATTCTCCACCCCAGAGGCAGTGGCTGCCTTCTCTCAGAAAGTCTTGCAGGATCTGGTCCCTGTTCAAGGCACCCTGTTTTCAAGGGGAGGGAAGGATTGTCTTGTGCTAATGCGAGCCTGGGTGTTCTTTTTTTTTTTTTTTTTTTTTTTTTTGGAACCTTTGCGGATGAGGGGGAGGGCTCCCCGTTTCCTCTTTGCAAAGGAGTCTATTGCATCCATTAAGTGCGCTGTTGGGGTGAGGTGAGCATACCCAAAAATCTCCAAGAATAGACACACGTCTTGACACAGTCACACAGACATGCTCTAAAACTCTGAATTCTGCTTTGGTCGCGAAACAGTACTTTGTGATGGCAGGGAACACACTACTTTGTAGTGGCGATGGCGGGTGAATTATCCTAAATCAGAATTGCTCACTCCTCTGATAAGTGAGCAAACAGTTCCCTGGGACTTCTGGGGACCGGCTCTAAACGCTTGCTGCTGCATGCGTGTGGATGAGGAGATCTGACGCAGCTGAGGACAGGGCAGAGACATCAACCTAACGAACAACGTTGTGTTATTTAAGCATTCTGTAGCGGGGAAGGGAGGAAAGGACAACTGACATCACTGGGGGGCGGGGCCGCGGTACTAAGAAAAGTCGGCGGGACTGGGAGACTGCATCTGTGGGGTGCAGTCTCAGCATGGGCTACCACAACCGCTCAGATCTCCAAGGCCTGGGCTGCTCCAGCCAGCTGCTCCTACAGCCCCTCTGGGACACCCTGAGGACCGGGGAGGCGTTTGTGCGTTCACCCTTTTTCCCGGTCATCTTTTCCATCATTACTTACTTGGGCTTCTGCCTGCCATTCGTGGTGCTGGATGTCCTATGTCCCTGGGTGCCCATGCTACGACGCTACAAGATCCACCCCGACTTCTCGCCTTCCGCGAGTCAGCTGCTGCCTTGCCTAGGGCAGACGCTCTACCAACACCTGGTATTCGTGTTCCCGGTGACGCTGCTACACTGGGCTCGCAGCCCCGCGCTGCTGCCGCCTGAGGCTCCTGAGCTATTCCAGCTCCTGAGCCACGTCCTGATCTGCCTGCTGCTCTTCGACACCGAGATCTTCGCATGGCACCTCCTGCACCATAGGGTGCCCTGGCTGTACCGAGCGTTCCATAAGGTGCACCACCAGAATGCATCCTCCTTCGCGCTGGCCACGCAGTACATGAGTGTCTGGGAGCTGTTTTCGTTGGCCTTCTTCGACGTGCTGAACGTTGCGATGCTGCAGTGTCACCCACTCACCATTCTTACCTTCCATGTGGTTAACATCTGGCTGTCGGTGGAGGACCACTCAGGCTACGACTTCCCGTGGTCCACTCACAGACTTGTGCCCTTTGGCTGGTACGGGGGTGTGGCTCATCACGACCTGCATCACTCTCAGTTTAACTGCAACTTTGCTCCTTACTTCACACACTGGGACAAAATGCTGGGCACCCTGCGTTCCTCAGACTCCCGAGAGTTGTGCACTTTACACTTGACCCAGGAAAAGAAACAGACTTGAGTTATTTTTATTTTCAGAAGCAAGTAACTTATTAGACTACAAACATTATACAATCTGATGTGTTTCTGCAATCCGACAAAGTAATTTATATAATGTTTGTGTATCAATTTAAGTATAGTCTTGGTGTCAAAATTCAGCTCACTCCAATGTCATTGACTTCAGAACACAAGCTAGACACTCAGCATAGTATATTTGAATTATAATCTCTAGAATGATTTGTCTGTAGAACCAAGACTTTCCTAGGTCTGAAATCATGCTGAAACTGGGCTAAGCACACATGTTGGTGCAACACCTGATTTCTGACTCTTTAAATAATCCAACTTGTTCCTGCTGGGCAGTGACCAAGGTTATAGTATTTTTTCTATATTTTTGAGTGAAGTGATTTATTTATATTGAAAGAGTTTTATTTGTACTTTAAAAATAAAAAGAACATGAACTAAACAAGCACTGGCTACTGTTGCATCTGATGGATGAAATCTAAAAAGGAAGGTGGGGGTCTGGGATGCTCAGTGTTCTGTGAAGTATCTTCAGTCCTGCTGAGGAAAGTGGAAGGAATCTCGCGGTAGGTGTTTGGGGGAGGGAAAGAATTTAGGGAAGAAGGGGGTGTGTGTCTGGCTGCTTTGATTCAGAAGGCTTTTTGGCTGTTTTTATTTTTTTCATAAGAAGCACATGATAGATTTATTATGTATATGATTTATTCTGTATATTATATTTACATATACAGGCATTGTATTGTGGAGTGGTATGTATGGGGCAATTTAGAGTCAGAGCATCAGAGTAATTGATGCCTTGTGATCAGCGAGCCTGATAAGTTTGTGCATTAGAGAAGCTGATCAATAAAGCTCTATTTCTAGGCAGTGTCCAATCTTAGCTAGTACAACTGACCCTTAGAACACTGTCCACTGGAGATTTTGTATAGCTTATTTTCTTAATGAAGACACACATGCAAAGTATACAGCCCTTTCTTAACAAAGAGTAAGATTAATATTGGTCTTAGATCACGTGTTTCCTCATCCATAAAAGGAGACAGTATGCAGATTGCATGTGAAAATCAGTATCTCATCACTGGCCATACTGATGTCTCACCATCAGCCATCCCACCTACCTGCCACTTAGTTACTTTAATGTTAAGTTGAGGACATAGTTTACATGGGCTAAAGTTAAAGTGGAAGATCTCAGAAGTCTGCAACTTTGCACGTAATTGTGGATTCATAATGTATGAACCTAAATGTTTTCATTTAAGGGTTTAAAAAATTGTCCAAAGATCTGGTCTCCATTGTCTGCCAAAGGAGATTCCTGGGAAATACCTTTAAGTCTTTCCAGTGATTGGTAGTTTGCAGCTGAGGTACCAGGTTGATTTTCTCATGTTCACTCAGATGTGTTTTCCTGGCTCCCAATTCAAGCAGGCTGGGACATAAAGATCTCACTTATAAAAAGTGAACTTCCCAGAAAGAGGAAGAGAGATCTGAGGGAAGGGTCTGTAATAGACATGCTTCATTATTGGGAGATGATAATCAGGCAGATGTAGAATACTCGGCGCAGCTGTTAGTTACTGTGAAGGCTCCAGCCTTCCCAAAGCCACACATGTGGCATAATAACACTCTGTCTCTGGTCACTGTCAGAGTCTGTAACAATGTATCATGTCATCTTGACCTGTAAGGGAAGTGAGATGAGACAATTGTACACATGGGAAGTGTTGGGAAACACTTTCTCCAAGTCCTCTTCAGCAGCTAATGCCCTGTGGAGGAAGATGAGGGAGTTTTCAGTTAGGTGAAAGCCCACATGACAGAGACAAACAGGTAATATTTGTATGTTTTTGCATACTTATCTCCCTTGCTCTTTGAGGACTCCTCTTCATCACCAGGATCTCACATTGTAGATGGAGTATTGATCCCACATAGGGTTAGTATCTTTTCCCAAGTTCCAGCGAAATATGCATTGGAATATTCTTAATAATGGGATGGTTTTCTATCTTCTTAATTGGCTTTTATTTATTATGATATGAGTGTGTGTGTGTGTTTTCTTAACTTTTATCCTAGAAAGTGATTCTTGCTTGACATTGGTGAGCTTTCTCTAAAGCATTTCCTTTCTTATTTTCTGGCTATTTCCTTTTAGTGGATTCTCTTCAATCACAACAAGAAAGCTAGCTACAGGCACTTTAAAAAATCTGTATTGTGTGCAACAAATGTCTTCCTCCCACCTCGAAAACCTACTAATTACATTATAACATATACACATGCATACATACATGCATACTATTTGTAAGTGTGTATATAAAAATACATAGTATTGTATATCACTATGCATACATGTACTATACTCACAAATTATATGATGTCTATACATGATTACATATGTATAAATGCATGCATTTGTATACTATGAATGTATATATGTACTGTAAATGAACACATTGTATATATTATAAATTTATTATATGCTATATGCATTTATAAGCCATGCTATATGTAGATAATATACTATATATGTGTATATATATAAACCATATCTAAACACACACATATGATATATCTACATATATCTTCTGCTCTATCTTCCCTTTCTCATTTCCCCCTCTCTTTTATACAAATGCATACACAACCATTTTTTTTTATATTCACTAATTGCCTCCTCCACAAGAATGACACTTGTTTCTTGATACATTTTGGTTAGGTGTTAAATGGATTGGAAAAGCACAGGACACCCAGCTTGGCTATTAATCATGTCTTTCTTCTCCTATTTCTTTTTGTTCTTCATCTTCCATCACCAGTCCAACTAAGCTTTTCACTCAGGCCATGACCATACTCCACAGTTCTGTTCTAGAGAAGGTAATGGGTTTCTGGAGAAGTGTCAGGTAAGCATATTCAGCTAGTTTAGTACGGTAAGCACTATCAGGAAGACAGCAACGGGCTGCTAAGGGTTGCCAAAGAAAGGGAGTCATTGGACCCAAATTGTGAAGGCTTCCAATGGGTTCCAAAAGCAGGAGTGCTGCTGATAGCTAGTGGGAGAAAGACAGTTGTTGTGATGATATATGATTTATGATTTATTAAAGCTTGCCTGAGGGTACAGAAAGCAAAGCTAGCCACAAGCTATAGAGCCAGGACTTGAAAGACAAGCAGATGGGTCTCTCTTAGTTCAAGGCCACACAGAGCTACCTGGAATTGATCCAGTCCTAAAGAGAAACAGTTCACACAAAGGTGATCTCAGCACTTGGGATCACACGCCTTTAGTCCTAATACTAAGGAGGTGTAAAAGGAAAAAGCAAAGGGCCTTAAGTGAAGATTTAGTCTCCAGCCATATTGAGGAGAGGAAGCAGTCTAGGAGTGCAGTCTGAGGATTCATGGAGTTTTCAGTCTGAGATAGATATAAGAGCTAGTGGCTGGCTTTGCTTCTCTGATCTTCAGCTTGAAGTTTGAACCCAATATCTATCTCTGGGTTTTTATTTTTCATGTTACAAGTTGTAAAATCAGAGATAGATGAGAAAACTAGATATACTGAAAATGTAGTAAGAATCTCAAAACTCTGAGTGAGTCATATGGGAATTTTAAGGCGTATTTGTATCAAGGCATCCAGGGCCTGGGATTGGGACCCAGCAGGCAGTGTTTATCTTACCTCTTCATAAGCTATTAAACTGCTCAGGGTTATGTCCACTGCTCGTGCCACAGGGGTTGTGAAAGAACACATGTAAAATAGATCAGAAGCAAATGGTAGGTCTTGCTAGATATGCAGACACATTTTAAGCAAAGGAGAAATGTGTTTCTGTTTGTGTAAGACAATAACTGATAGCAGAGAATAGTCGTACTTATCTGAGTTAGGGGGCCTAGGCTGCTGTCTTGATTACAGGCCTGGCTTTATTGCATAGTCACTGTGTGACAAGCTTGAATGCGCCTGGACTCAATTTCTTCATCTGCAGAAGAGATGTATTAGTTACATTTTGTTGTTGTTGTTGCTGTGACAAAATACTACGACCAAAAGCAACTTAGGTAAGACTTAATTTTGGTTTATGGTTCCAGAAGAAGAGTCCATTATAATAGAGGATGCATAAGCAGCAGGTGATAGGAGCAGCTGGCTGAGAGATCACATCTCTATCTACATACAGGAAAGAGAACACCAACATTAAGTGAGATGAGACTATGAACTCTAAAAGTCTGAACTCAGTAACATAATACAAAAAAAAAAAAAAATCAAAGATAGTTTATTTTGTTCATGTGCTCTTGATTGGATGGTCTTCACTCGAGGGTGGTTTATCCATCTATCCTGCTGATAGATCCTTAGCGAAGGCTGGGACTTAGTGTCTGGTGGGAGATGTCATTCTGTAAATATGTTTCTCTTATTGGTTAATGATTAAAGCACTATTGCCAATAGGAAAGCAAGATAGGTGGGACTAGGAGACTAGGAGGAGAGAGGAAGAAGTAGGGAGGAGATTCAAGATGGAGGACAGAGAGAGAAGAATGCTGGGACCTCTCTCGGGTAAGATGAGACCACGTGGAAATACTTAGACTATTAGAAATGGGTTAATATTTAAAACAGAGCTGGCCAATAAGAAATGCAAGTAACAGGCCAACAGAATTATATCTAATACAGTGTCTCTCTGTGTTATTTGGGGCTGGTGGGGTGGTGAGACCAGGACAGCATCTCTGTGTGATTTGGGGCTGGCACGGCAGTGGGACCAGGCAGGTGGAAAAATGTGCCCATAACAAGTGTCCGCCTCTCCTTTCCATTTTTGAATTCTTTGGCCTAAAATCATGCTGGTCTTGTGTATGTTGTCTCAACTTCTGTGAATTAATGTGTGTAACTTCTCTATTGTGTCCAGAAAGCATTGTTTCCTTGTAGTCATCCATCACCTATGACTTTTACAATCTTTCTGCCCCATCTTCCCCTAAGATTAGAGGCTTGGGTGGAGGGGAGTGTGACATAGACACTGTTGAACATTTGGCAGATCTTATTCCCTACACCTTGATCATGCGTGGGTCTTTGTGGTAATTGCCATCTACTGCAAAAAGGTTGAGCAATTATTTTTTTTTTATTGCAGGGAAGTCTGTGAAAGAACAGAGCGTGTCTTCTATCTTTTATTCCTTTGAGGATCTACTCTTAGAAAGTGCTCTCTGGCTCTCTCAGAGAATAGAGCACAGCCCTGAGAGCCTGAAAAGCCTGCCATCAAGCTCCCGATTATTTGCTTTTAGTGAAGTGATTAAATCGCTCAGAATATAGGTTTCTGTCTCTGTGAAGTAGGTGGAAGGTAGAGCAGCAGTAAGCAGTCCTCACTGCTTCCTAATGCTTCCATGAAGATGAAATGAGGCAAAAAGCAGTAGGGAGTTGAATGAGTGATCCAAGACAATGATCTAACATTCCCCTCTCTCCCTCTATCTATCCCTGACAGCATGATGCTCCACCTTTCCCATCCAGTAGCTGTCCTTGGACTTCCATTGTGGCCTCCCTTCCCT